TCGGTATCATGAATAATAAGCAGTTGAATAGCGACTATGTAAAGCAGGTTGATTGCTTTAATGGCCTTAAATCCGAATTTCTTTGGTTGTATTCAACCACTTTTTTTCGTACAGCACTACAGCTTAGGAATTAATGGGCTACTCGGGAAAAATCTCTCCAATTGGTTTAATTGTTTCAGTTGCGCACGTCACCAACTATCTTTTCATTTTTTCGAGTACTCTACAGACTGCTGCAAATATACAGCTGAGCGTAGTAATGACGATGACTTTGACTTTAGTGCTGAGAAGTTGATAACAGTGACAAAAGCGGGTTCGCTTCATTTGAGAATCCACTAAAAAGAGTGAGCCACAAGTACAGCACACTGTTGTCTGTAGCCGTTTTTTCTTTGAAATGTATACAGTACATGGAAACTTGATTAGTGTTACGTTGTCTATTAGGTACAGGGAGTATCTAGTAAAATGCAAGTGTTACGACTCGTTTAGTGGCTCGTTGTCGTCAGTTTTTTTGTTTGCAGTTGCTGATCGATAGAAACGAATTATGACGGCAGTTTAATGAGTATTTACCTGTCAAATGTAATAGTTGGCTGATGTAGCTGTTATTTTCTCAATTCTTTCCTCTTTTAAAGTTCAACTGTGTTATACTTCAAAGTAAGTCTTAAGCTGGACTTTAAATCTGAAGATACGAAAGAATGCTAGGCAGCCGTCAGAAAAAATGGTGAAACGAGGAGCTAAACTGGGTTTCCAGCAACGTACTAACTAGAATGCGTTTGAGACAAAAAAAAGTTGCTTTTTATAACTAGATTCATAGGATAACCACTAAAAAAGGAACTACTACCTGTTTAGCAGTTGTAATTCGTCGTCAACACTCTCATCACAAGCATCTTTGTTGGTCTCTGTTGATCGTTACCGCAGTTGATAATATATTGATGCTTCTTTTTGTTTTTGTCAACAAGAATTTTTCCACATTTTCTAAAGTTGTCATCTGTTTTAAGGGAAATTTTGCTCTTCTATCAAGAACTGCAGGACAAAAGAGAAAAACAAAAAAAAAAGGAAAAAAGAAAAAAAGCAGTCTTGTTACTGATAGGTTGAACATGCAAACGTCATACCCGAATGTTTTGCTTCATTTACTTACTTGTCCAATTTTTTTCCAATAAAAAAAACAATTTAATATGTTGTTTTTTCTTCTTTTTTGGCTCCAGTTTTAAAACTGCTAAGTGGAATTCAGAAGTGTTTGTGGTGCTGTGTATTGGTGCTACAAATGTTGGCATTCACACA